TGCCAGACAGACAGCCAGACAGACTCACCTATGACCATCAGACTGCCCCTGCCAGTGACTGTGTTAAACTCGGGTCCCTCAGCTGACACCTCACAGCGGTACTGACCCGAGGTGTTGAAGCCCACACGACGCAGCACAACGCGTCCAGGCTGTAACAATGCTTCCTGTGGCGGTACAGTAGTGTATGTATTAGTGGGATACAGAAGGTCAATAATAACAGGAAGTGGAAGAAATATAATGAGTAATATAGTAGTTTTTCACATCTACCAATCACAATAATCCTAATATCATATCCACCAATCACATTAACCCTAGTATCATATTCACCAATCACAACAAACAGCACTTATCACATCAACCAATTAGAGCATTCGTATTTGCCCAATGATAATTACATACAATTTTCACGTTAAAAAAATTATCCCTCTATATTTTTACTAACTACCTCGTTATCCGTGTGTTGGCAATTCCCTCGTTTAGCAATTATCCTACACACATAGTTTCCAGGCCAGCAATTACGTGTGGGTTATTCTGTTGGTTAATTATTACCCGGTGGTGATTGTAGTGTGGGGTAATTATCATGTCTCTATGCGCCAGTCTCTTGATAATAAACGAGGAAATATTTACATTTTTGGGAATATGTTTGTGTTTAGTGATATACGGAAAAATAAAGTTGATAATAATAATAACAACAATAATAATAATAATAAAAAAATAATAATAATGACAATAATAATAATAATAATAATAATAATAATAATAATAATAATAATAATAATAATAATAATAATAATAATAATAATAATACATTAATAGTAATAATATCATCAAAGTAAAAAAAAATATATTAGTCGCTTTTCGTGATCAACTTTCGAAAGATGTTACGTCAAACCAAATTATTTCTTTAACAAATATCAAACACTACTTTTTATTAAACATTCCATATCAAAAACATTTTATTTTAACTATATTTCACTTTTAGAGTTTATTCCTTTGTGCAAAAAATAAAGTAGAAGGCAAGTTACGGATATTATTATTATTATTTGTTTACGTGAGATGGTAAAAGGTGTATAGCCTCGCTCATCAGACCCTCACAACAATGGAGATTTAAAGACCGTGAGAACGACAGATTTACCTTTAAATTGCGCCCATTAAGTACGTGTGCTTGATTTCCTTGTTGTTATCATATCGTAGAAAATTTATAAGACAAACTCCATATACAAAAAAAATATAGAATCTATTTCATAAGTGAGATAAGTTAAAGTTTCTTCCAGACGATTTATTCCCAGAGATAGTGATGTAAATAAGTGTCGTTATTATACGTATCATCATTATTACACTGTTACTCATATTTGGATGATGATATGTGACGTATTTTGTATAATTTGAGGTCATGTGAGTGATATGTGGTGAGCGAATATGTTGGAATATGAAGGAATTACGTCACCTGTTGGGACTCTTTCGGTAAGTAAACAAACATTACAATATGCCCCTTTAAATTTTCTGTTTATGTTATGATGTGTTTGTTATTACTGAGAAATATGTGTCTGTCAGTAACGTAAGATCATTATTTATTTTAGTCACGAAAGTTTATAGTTAATTATAGCGTTTCTTTGTGGTATTTAGTTTTATCATAGTAAATAAAAATCGTTTTATTATGCAGTAGCCTAATGTGTTTTGTTTACAGTAAATTATTATTATTATTATTATTATTATTATTATTATTAGTAGTAGTAGTAGTAGTAGAAGTAGTAGTAATGGTAGTACGGTATTATTATTATTATTATTATTATTATTATTATTATTATTATTATTATTATTATTATTATTATTATTATTAATTATTATTATTATTATTATTATTATTATTATTATTATTATTATTATTATTATTATTATTATTATTATTATTATTATTATTATTATTATTATTATTATTAAGCCTTGCATCTGTTTCGCTGTCAAAACCCCTTTTTAATATTTTGAATTATATTCCATACTAAAAGAGACTCGTGTACCGTATAGTTAACTTCATCAATGCCGAAATTACTACTACACTATTGACTTTGTTTTAGTGAATTGTTCGTCCCCAGAAAACACTGACGAGTAATATCTGTAACTTGACTTCTACCTTCATAATTTTTCAATACTTTTTATATACTGTAGATACTAATGGACTGTAAGGTTAATTTCACTTCGGTATTTGGATATAAGAATAGTATAGTTTATAAGATTTACTTCACTATTATGAGGGAAGTCTGTGTTGAAGCCGACTTGTATTCTCTTCGATATTATGATTCCAAGAAAATAATAGGCTATATGATTTACTTCACTGCGGTACGCTTGTGATTATACTTCTACTTAAATGTCCAGCCGATTTGTTCTCGATAAGTTTTAAGTCGCGAATTATTGCCAGTGGTCCGAGGGTCAGGGAAGGAGAGTGTCGGACAAGTGTTAATTAGAGATGAAACTTGTTGAATATTTATCCGGGAGAAGTTGTCTGATAGCTACTGCTTTGTCGACTGTCATGAAGAGATGTGATGTGTTTGATTGTTTATTCTGTTCGGTGTCGCGTCTGTGTGTGTATGTGTTTGTTTGTGTGTGTGTGTGTGTGTGTGTGTGTAAGCGTTTGGATGAGCCTTTGTGTGCGTGTGCCCGAATGAGTCTCTGAGTGTGTGTATGGTTGAGTGTCTGTGCGAGTCCGGATGAGCCTTTGTGTATGCAGGATAACTTTGAACGAATAACCGAATCATTTACACGAATACGAGGATAACTTGCACGAATAGTCGGATAACTTACGCGAATAACCACTCCCCAGCAACTGCTCTCGGGGTACTTACACGGTCGCCTACCACCACCGTCGACGGCACCACCACCAGCCACCACCACCACCAGCCACCACCACCACCACCACCACCACCACCACCACCACCAAATTCCTCAGGTGAAACACATCGAGCTTCGGCCGCCTATTATTACTGCTGTGTCTCATATCTTAGTCACCCCTGGTATGTGTCCTGAGTAAGACGTGGAGGGTGGGTATGCGTCCTTGGGTGAGTGTTGAGAGCGGTTATGTGTCTCTGGGTGAGTGTTGTGAGTGGTTATGTGTCTGGGTGAGTGTTGTGAGTGGTTATGTGTCTGGGTGAGTGTTGTGAGTGGTTATGTGTCTCTGGCTGAGTGTAGAGAGTGGGTATGTGTCTCTGGGTGAGTGTAGAGTGTGGCTATGTGTTTTTAGGGAATCGTAGAGAACTCACTGTGTATCCTCAATCACAAATAGAGGTGGAGGATTGGATATGTGTCACCAACCGAACGTGTATGATTTGATTTGTGGTCATAAAAAGACGGAGGTACATTTCTTACCTAAAAAAAGAAAAACTGTTTTTTTTAATATATATATTTTTTTACAGTTTGAGGACGATAATATAACCCTAACATGATAACAATTTAAAGATGGCTTAACCCTTTGAGGACTGTGATTTAATCCTTTGTTGACGATTTAACCCGTAGACGGACGATAATTTGACCCCTTAAGGACTATAATTCAACCTCTTAAAGACGATAGTTTAACTTTCTTCCTTAAAATTCTAAACAAAAGAGAGAAGTAAACCCACCGAGGCCTACAACTACCATAGTACCCCCTCAGGAGTACCTCGTTACCTGCTGGAGGGGGTGACACCGACGCCGCCCTTGTCTGGTGAGTGCTGTTACCTGGGCCTTTTTACCTCCCGCTGTCGCCCAGCAAATGGCAACTCATTAAGGTTTATGGAGGTGTGAGGTGTTGCCATATTTCAATCGAACTATGGGCGGTGAGAGGGAGGGAGGGAGGTTGATGTTGGCAGCAGAGAGGGGGTGAGTGAGAGAGGGAGGGAGAGAGGGTAGGATGATGTTGGCAGCAGAGAGGGGGTGAGTGAGAGAGGGAGGGAGAGAGGTTAGGTTGATGTTGGCAGCAGAGAGGGGGTGAGTGAGAGAGGGAGGGAGAGAGGGTAGGTTGATGTTGGCAGCAGAGAGGGGGTGAGTGAGAGAGAGGGAGGAGAGAGGGTAGGTTGATGTTGGCAGCAGAGAGGGGGTGAGGAGAGAGGAGGGAGAGAGGGTGTTGATGTTGGCAGCAGAGAGGGGGGTGAGCGAGAGAGGGAGGGAGAGAGGGAGGAGAGAGGGTAGGATGATGTGGCAGCAGAGAGGGCGGAGCGAGAGGAGGAGAGAGGGTAGGATGATGTTGGCAGAGTGGGGGTGTGAGCGAGGGAGAGAGGGTAGGTGATGTGGCAGCAGAGAGGGGGAGAGGGAGGGAGAGAGGGTAGGTTGATGTTGGCAGCGTTGAACTCTCTGTGTTGACTGTGTGTGGGAATTATTAACTGTGGGTCTCTCACCTACAACACAATAACACGTGCGACAGGGAAAATTAATTACACCTCTTAAATAATCACATGGGAGAATTACACCTGGACGCTGCTGTTGTGAGGATTTTTCTCACCTTTTCATTATTTTGAGTTGGTAGGAGTTTTCTTTTTTCTTTTTACGTTGAGCAATAATCTCCCGGGATTTTGTCAGGTTTGTATTTTATTAAAGAACCAGGAAACTTAAACCCGACGACCGACCTGTTTCTCTACGACTCACACTCATTCACTTATTTGCAGCTTGTGTGTGTGTGTGTGTGTGTGTGTGTGTGTGTGTAATAATAATAATAATAATAATTAACGGTTTATTGAAAGAGCATGACAGCCGGAAGGCTGAAAATATACAGTTGCATAATTGGGGAATGGGTCTCATGTCTTACAAATAATATACAAGTAGCATAAGTGATACAATTATGATATATAATGACTAGGTGGGGAGAAGCTCAAACTACAGGGCATTTCAACATAGTGACAGTGCAAAAACGTAAGATTGATTGGGAGTGAATACACTGGTTGATTATAAGTTATTGATAATTTTTACAATGGTTGGGACTGGGCTGTTCTTATAGCGATCAGTTCGTGCTCGTTTGGGCTGGATGCTGTTGTGGTGTCGAACAGCAATTCTCGGACGAGGGATCTCGGGTGGTAGTAGGAGCCGGTGTGCGTGTGCTTGTGTGTGTGTGTGTCGTATTACTGAAGATCCTATATGTTTACTCTTACGTAAAGCCTTTTGTTATTGGACCATCGCTTTAATCTTGTTAGTTCGTAATTAA